GTGGGATTTATAAGGCTCATTAGCAGGTCTTCCAGGCGGCAAGACGGGAGGAGGGAAGGGGCGGGAGGGGATGTGAAAGGAGCCATCTTGCCTCATGTCTGGGAGTCCTGCTCCCCCCTCCAGCGCTCACAGACGGGGCGTTCTCCCTCCCCCCCGAAGCCGAGCGCCACCCAGCTCCCTGCGGCCGCGCCGGGCCATTGGTATTCTGGGAGCGTGCCCGGTTGGCAGGACGACGGAGAGGCACCCCCAGGAACGTGCCTTGGCAGCCCAGAGGCTGCGGTCAAGCCACCCGACCCTCCCCCCCAAAAGCCCCAGTGCGCAGGAGGCCAATGGGCCCCTGGGAGGGGGAGGGAAGAGAGGCCTGGTGCCAGGGGGCCTTGGGCTCTGCCCCGCTCACTGGGGGAGGAGCTTTTGAGGTGTGTGCTGGGGCACGTTGGGCTTTCCAGGGATTGGGGTGGGGAGGGAGCAGCCTCTGGGTCCCCAGGGACACTGGCTGTGCACGTGAGTGATACAGCCCTGGGGCAGCGCTGAGACCCATTCTTCCCCCCTCCCTCCACTGCCCCCCACTGGCCAGCTCCACCCCCTGTGGCTTGGGGGAGCTCCCTCCTTCCAGCTGCTGAGCCTGGCTCCGGCAGGACGCTTCTCCCCTCCCCGTTTTCAGCACCTCTCTCCCTCTCTCCTCCCGGGCAGGCCATGGACCCCTCCGGCACTCCGTCCGTCCCGCTCATGATCGGCTGTGCCGTCTCCTGTATGGCCCTGCTGACCCTGCTGGTGATCTACGCCACCTTCTGGAGGTAGGTCGGCCCCATCCCCGGACTTGCCTTCTCCCTCCGTCCTTCGGCACCAGCCCAGAGGCCAGGGCGTAATTCCTCCTCGCCAGCAGGGTGGCTGGGGGGGAACGATTGATAGCTTTTTGTTGGGTGGATGCCAGCTGAGCTGGGGGCACCGGAGCAGTGTCAGTCTCCGAGCTTACGTCAAGGTTTTCTACAGTGGCCGAGTTGGCCATAACCTGCCGGGACGTGGATCCAAACGTCGCCACGGGCATCCTGGGGGAGGAGCAAGGCCCAGAGATGGGTGCCAGCAAGGACCAGGGCCGTGTCCTCGAGCGGGGCCCTGAGCAGCTGGCAAGTCCCAGGTTGCCGGCTCCTCTTTGCTCCCAGCATGCGCAGGGGGAGAGAGGCCGTGTTGGCCCACGTGCAGCGGGAGGGGAAGAGGCGAGGGTTGGGCAGCCGGGAAGCGGGTGCCGAGAGCAGAGGGAGGAAGAGAAGTCGGGAGTGGGGGGTGGGGAGGAAACAAGCGATAGCTTCGCCGCTGCGTGATTGACTGTATTGTTCCAGGAAAAGAACAAAGCTCTTAGCGCATTAAAGACAATGGTGGGCATGGGAGTGTCCTGCTGGGGCGGCTATTCCGGTGCTGCCACAAGCAGGAGGCACAGACAGGAGGGCTCTGCAAGGCCTGATCCTGCCTCGCTGGCATCGGTGCCGCTCAGCGGAGTCACTCCCGATTTACACCAGCAAGAGGGACAGCAGAATCAGGCCCTCCCTTGCTGCTGAGATCCCCTGGCTAGACGCATCAGCGATGTGGGGGGAGGGTCCACCTGAGGAGAGAGTCAGAGGGCTGTTAATGTACAGTGGCACCTAGCAACCTCGGGCAGGGCTCAGGGCCCCCTTGTGCTAGGAGCTGTACGGGCACGAGGCTTTCAGTGCTGATGCCGTTCACTGCAACGGGAACCAGGAGTCCAAATCCCTTCGTCAGCTTTGCAAGCTCCACCTCGGGCAGGTTAGCTCCCAATCCTGCAGTCCTTTCCACGCCCATACACCCCTGCTAGGGAATGCGATGGAGCCTGGGTGCACAAGGAAGCATGCATGGAAGTGTCTGCAGGAGGAGCACCTCGGTCTGCGAAGGAAAAGAGGAAGAGACGGTTAGGGTGAAGGTTTATCAACAAACAACGCCCAGCGCAGAGAAGATCCGTGGGGCTCGCTGCTCTGTCCTGAAATTGAAAGTAAAAGGGCTCAACACATCTGAAACGGAGGGGGAAAGGAATTTGTTTCTTCCCCTCATGATGGATTGTTCACCTGTGGGACTCTCTGCTGCTGGATGCTATTAAGTCAAAGAGCCAAAATTAATATTGAACGTTTTTACATCTCAGTTCAGGGAAATTTTGTAGGCTGCTTCCCTAAATCGCCTCTGAGCTGTGTTGGTGGGCACCCTCACATGGCCGCCACGTTCTGCTCCGGAAGTGGCTGCAGTTCTGCCAGAGGTGAAGCAGTCCCTGTATCCCTCAGGGTACATCTACACTGCAAAGGGAAGTTGTGATGGTAGCAGGGGTAGGCATAGCCATGTTAGCTTTAATCTCGCTAGCATGGATATCTGTAGCAGTGTAGATGTAGACACAGGCTAGTGACTAGAGTACAAGCCCACCAGAGACCCTGGGTACCATCTAGATTAAAGCTGGCACAGGTATGCCTACCTATGCTGCAGTCATACCTTCGCTTTGCAGCAGAGACGTACCCTCACGTACCTCACAGGGATGTCGGAAGGCCTAACTAGTTCACGTTCGTGTAGCATGTTGTGTTCCCCAAGTGCTGTGGAAGTGCAGGTGTTTCATCCTAGTGTCGGTATTTGTGATATGAATGGGGTAGCCCCTGGAGTCACACTCCCTAGGATAAAATAAACTCTCCATCCTCATGCTTCAGGGCATAAACTGATCCCCAGCCGGGGGTCAGGAAGGCAGTCCCTGCCTGCTAACACACTCCACGCACTATATGAAGGTCTGTGCTGCCCTCTAACATATCCCCGTTGACCACTGTTGGAGACGGGCTACCAGACTGATTAGACCATTAGTCTATTGCGTCATAGCATCTCCTGCATTCTCCACCTTAGGTCTAGAGAGAAACCAGGCCAGGATGTTTGCAAGGGGCCCGGCCCCAGGACCCCTTCAACCTGCCTCCCTCTGCCCTCCCTGCAGGTTCATCAAGTCGGAGCGCTCCATCATCCTGCTGAATTTCTGCGTCTCCATCCTGGCTTCCAATGTGCTGATCCTGGTGGGCCAATCCCATATGCTCAGTAAGGTGAGAGTCTGGCCTAGGGCTTCCTGGGCTTCTGCCCCATTACAGCTGCCAAGGGGCGTTGCCCGGCTGGGCACCCAGTGAGGGCACGCCGTGTTCCTTGGAGAGAGACAGGCACCTGCTGGACATTTCCCTGGGGCATTACAGCCAGAGAGCTGTGGGCAGAACAGCCTGGAATGGCAGGATATGGCCTTTAAATCGATGCATCATGCTGTTTCGGCTGAACAGTCCCCTGTTCTGAATTGCTTTGCAGTGTTGCTGCGTGCCGTTAGAACAGCTGCTGTGCTCTGTCCCAGAGGTGGCTGCATTTCAGTGCTGACTGAAGTCTCTCCTGGACCAGTGGAGCTGGTGAAGTGCTCTGGGATCCTCTGGGCTCTAGATACAGAGCTCTCTGTTGTCCTGTGGCCCAGAGGATACAGTAGCTTGCTTGGCCACCCCAGGAGACTCTGCATCAGTGAATTCATGGCTATAAATATTGAGGAAAGGGCAGATGAGGCCCCCAAATGGCATCCCCCAGCCCCAAATCCCTGCAGCATGAATGAGCCAGCCAACCCCCCCCCCCCTCCGCTCCCCAGCTCTGCTGGCTGCGCTAGGTGGGCAGTGCCTGCTGCATGGGTCGCCAGGTGTGGCGGCGTTCTGTGGGGCAGTGCCCTGCTGCGCTCCTGGGAATGTTGGCTCCCCTGGACAAACGCCTGAGAGCGACGGAAGCAAGTGGCAGTGGAGTGGGGATGAGTCGCACTGGGTGGTGTGTGTGTGCTCGTGTGCGCCTCTTGCTCGCCCCAGCCCGTGGGAGCACAGTTAGCGCGAACCTGGGGGCTGCTTACAGGGACAGAGAGAGGGATAGAAGGACAAGGCACAGCGGAGAAGTGAAAGGACCCATCCCCGTCTTGTCCTGGAGCAGGGAGCGCTCACTCCTGCCGCTGAGAGTTTCCAGCTGCCGATGAGAGAGGAGAACTTGCTCCTTGCAGCCCTTCTGGGGAGAGAGTTGGCTGAAGCCAAGACACCAAAGGCAGCAGGAGCAGCGCCCGGCTGATTGGCACTGTGGCTGGCTGGCTGGCATGGCCTGTCCGGGCAAGGGGTGTGATTCTCCATATTCCCTGTTGTGTTCATTTTGATGGACTAAGTCACAGGTGTTAACATGACCCAGTCACTGTGCAACATTAAACCCTGCTCAACAAGGCTCGGCATCCAGGGACCTTGGCCTGCTTAGACCCCGGTGAACACCCCATTAAACGTCCCTTTTAACCTTCTATCAAAGAGCAGAAAGAAAAACGGGGAAAGCGTCTGAATTGTAAAGTTTGAAGTGAGGCTTTTGCTGTAACAGTCCCCCTCATTCCCTCTCCCTTTGGCCGCTCGGACGCCTGGCAAACCTACCAGCATCGGGCTGTCTCTGGCACTGCTTTTACCTGCCTCGGGCTTACGGCAGTTACAGAATACACGGCCCTGGCGGGCTACGCCAGACTGTGATTAGACAGAAGGGAAAAGGAGGGGGGGGAGGGAAAGGGGAGACAAGGTGGGGAAGGAAAAGAGCACTCGGGTTGTGCCGATGTCGTCTGGGTCTCTGGCCGTTGATTGCTGTGGGTTATTGTGAGGTTTTATGAACATTCAGGCTCTTTACCACGGTGGAGCTCACCGTGTAGGCCCCGTTACCACACCGGCCCTGCCCCCCTGAAGCCCATCAATACCCTCCCATGCACCAGGAGTCGCCGCGTGGCAAAACAAGGCCCTTCCCGGAGCTCTCGCCAGCCTCGGGGCGGCCCAGCCGCTGCGGCACACTCCCGGCTCCCGCTGGCCCTTGTGGAGCTCATAGCTGGGCTCCCATCCCACCCTCTTACCCACTCCCTGTCACTGGTCCAGGCTGCCTCTGCACTACCTGCCCTACAACAAGGGGGCCCCAGTGAGCCCCAGTCAGCATGGCCCGGGGCCTGCTGTCCCAGCATTCCCTTCTCTCCGCAGCTGCAGGGATACCTTTCGGGCGCTTTGTTCCTGGCACATTTCTTCCAGTCCAGCATCCGTCCATCCCCCTGGCCGGTCCTTGTCGCCCCGATGTATAAAGGCGGCTCTGCCTAGCGCCAAGCCTCGCTTATCCCATGTGAATCCCCCAAGGAGTGAGGGAGCTTAGCTTTCAGGGCGCTTCGTGGACGCAGCCCAAAGGCTTCAGCCGGTGCCCCCCGCCCCGCCCCAGCTCCAGGCAGCACAGCGCTCTCTGGGACGCGTGTTAGCGGGCAGCCTCCTGCCGCCTGGCGTCTCTTGACGTTCTGGAGACGGGACCCCTCGCGTGCCAGAAGCATGTCCGCAGGGGAGGGTGGGACATCTCTGAGGGGCAGGGCATTGCCGGAGTACGTTGGCCAGGGGTGCAGAGGTGGGGAGCAAATGCCCATAGCCACAAGCAAACCTAAGGGCAGCCTGCCCTGTATTCCACTGTGGTTGCAGCCATGCTGCTCACCTTGTAGGGATGGTTTAGTGGCTGGACCATCAGGTTTGAGGAGTTTCTGCAGACCCCAGTTCAAGTTCCGGCAGGGCTGACTCGAGTTCCTTGCAGGAGACGGTGCCCACACAGGTTCCTGCACTTTGTGACCATCCATGAGCTCAGAGGGCACTCAGGGGGATGCTGCCTCTGGCTACCATGTGCCCTCCCCACACCGGGGTGTTATGTGCTGCTGCGCTCTGCCCCAGAGCTGGCTGCCTTTTGGTGGTTTCCCACCCTTTGTGTTTTGAGAGCCATTTGGTGGACGCCAAAATTGTATTTTTCCCACTGTCTTACAAACCTGGGCGCCCCGGTGTGTGTGTGTGTATGTCTCCCAGATGCAGCTTGCGCTTGCATGCATTGTGTCCCAGACATTACCAGATGTGTGCAGTGCATTTGGGGGTCTGTGTGAATGCACCCCAGGTGTAGGATGTTTTGGTTGTGCCCAGGTGTACCTCAGGCAGGCGTGGTGTGCTTGTGTGTCCTGGCCCCTTTTGTGCCTGTATCCCGGCACTCTGTGTACGAGTGTGTTCATTTGTGTCCCAGTGGTTTGAGTGTGTGTGTGCCTATGTCCCAGCACTCTGTGTGTGCTCGGGGGGCGGGGGGAGGTTGTCTGTGTCCCAGTGCTTTGAGTGTGTGTGTGTGAGAGCATGTCTCAGCAGTGTGTGTCCCAGCGCTGTGTGTTGGCCCTGCACAGTAAGGAAGGACCGTGTGCTGAAACATTTGCCTGCTGATACCATCTCTGTGGTGTGGCTTGGGCCCCAGGGCCGCGTGTTCTCTCCCGGATTCCCTCGCTGGCTGCAGAGGCAGATGGGATTTGGATTAAGTCAGTGTGGGGTTGACGGCTCACGGTGGCTTTGTCACGTCCAGTGGATTCAGCTGCCAGGGGATCCTCCCCGCAAATGCTGAGCTTGTGCTGGCTCTCAGAGAGGGATGGCTCTGTGGGTCTTGTGGATGATTCGCTGGTTCGGGACTCAGAGGAACTGTTTTTTGTCCCCACTTCTGCCATTGAGTTGCTGTGGGGCCTTGGCTGAATCACTGCCCTGCTTCGTGCCTCAGTTTCCCCAAATGGGGATAATCCTTCCCTGCACAAGGGGTGTGAGGATAAATCCATGAGGGTCTCAGACACTGCCGCGATGGAGGCCAGAGAGCAGCCCCTGGTCTCTACTCAAAGGGTGGACTCCGCTCCCTTGTGGCCGAATGCTCTGGTGGGTGTTTACGGCATCGCCAAAGAGGTGGCCCCTGGGGATTAGGAATGCACCATCCGCTCCCCCCATAAACGCAATGCCCTTGCAGGACTGGGATGTAGCTGCAGCAGGACCCCTGTTGCACCCCAGATCTCATACCAAAGACGACGCTTGTAGCCAGTCCTGTAATAAACTAGCTAAAGATTTATGAGCTAGGAAGAGGAAACCAGAGCGGCATTGACAAGGTTAAACAGACACACAAATGAGTTACAATCTCAAGTTTCAAAAGGCAATAAAAGCTTCTATCATGAGCATGTTCTACACGTCCCTTAGGGCTGACCCAGGCTGAGCCGCTGGGGATCTCTTGCGTGTGCCTAGAAACGTTTGGTCCCCAGATTCCAAGCAGCACAGAGGGACCAAGTTCCTTTTGTCTGGGGTTTTTATCCCCCTCCTGCCATGTGCCCTGAGCTGCAAACTCAGCTGATGGGAGGAATCGGCGTGACTCATCTTCCTGGGGAGGAGGAGAGCAGGGCCACAAAACTCTTTTGTTCTCTTGTGGAGGGTAGGCAGGGAAATTCCAGGTGCACCATCCCCCAGTGGGCCATCTGGTATCGATGGACCTCTCCTTTTGGGAAGATCGGCCTAATTAATGCCACACTAATTAATGTCTCTCTCCTGCCTGGTGATGTTCACAGGCTCAGAATACAACCGCTGAGATATTACGTTACCGTGTGTTATAAGTGAGGTTAATTCAGGCAGCGACTCACAAGCTTTCTTACAATCTAATACCTGGTTGGGCCCTGCTAACACACAGGTGAGCCGGACAGAGCCCAGCTCTGGAGCTGTCAGCGTTCGCCGTGGGAACCTTGCCAGGAGCTGGCACCTGGTCTGCCAGCGGCACGCCTGTTACCAGAGATTGGAGTGAACGATGCATCCAAGCCATGAGAGCATTGGGCTAAGCACCTCTCTGGCTTACGCCGCTCCTACCCATTGGCTTCCGTGGAGTTGTTCCTGATTTACGCCATCGAATTCAGGGGGAATCCGGCCCATTCTTAACAACGCCGGGGAGTGTGGGATGCCCGAGGGCTCTGCTAGAGCCAGATCCCGAGAGGCCCGAGCACCCCCAGACCTCCGTGCGGCGCGCCTGTGTTGATTGCCGTCTCTCTCTCTCCTTGCAGGGCGTGTGCACCATGACAGCTGCATTTCTGCATTTCTTCTTCCTCTCGTCCTTCTGCTGGGTGCTGACCGAGGCCTGGCAGTCCTACCTGGCCGTGATCGGCAGGATCCGCACACGCCTGGTCAGGAAGCGCTTCCTGTGCCTGGGATGGGGTAAGAGGCCTCGCTCGCCTTCCCCGCGAACAGCGGGTCCTGCTCAAGGAAGGGGCGGGGTCTAGTGGTCAGAACAGAGGGAAGCACCTTGCACTCGTGAGTTAATGGTGGTCACACTCAGACCCCGCCTCCGGGCGAGCTAAGGATTATCACCCCCATTTCACAGGTGGGGAAACCGAGGCACAGAGCAGGAAAGTGACTTGCCCAAGGCCATGCAGCATCAGTGGCAGAGCTGGGAATAGAAGCCAGGAGTCCCGGCTCTGACCCTCACCCCAGCCCCTGAGCCATGTGACTAGCCCCGCTCTCATCAGGGCAGAGTGAACCCAGAGGCGCCGTGGGTCGCTGCGCTGTTTCACATCTAGATGTGCTGATGCTGTACATCCCAGCCCTGCATCGCTGCTGGGTGGCTTGGGGCCCCCTGCTGATGCATCGGTCACTGCATGCTCTGTCTCTGCTCTCCAGCTGCTGCCCTGAGTCTAGAGACACGGCCCTTGCTGACCTGAGGGAGTGCAGGGGCAGATCTTCCCCCGGGCTCTGCTCCTAGCAGCTCTTACTGTTCAGGGGAGCAGTAGGGTACTCGCCGTTGTTCGCCACGGGGGCGGGATGCTGCACTGGTGTCAGTGGGGAGGAAATGGAGGGAGGTTCCCCACTGGTGTCACTGGGGCAGGTGGGTGCTGAGCCCCTCTGCAGATCCTGGCCATTGTCTCATCTCCCCCACCAGGTTTGCCGGCCCTGGTGGTTGCAGTCTCTGTCGGCTTCACTCGGACCAAAGGCTACGGAACAGCGAGCTAGTGAGTGTTGGAATGGAGCCCGGGTGGGGGTGCACGGGGGGCTGGGGCTCCAGGGGCTCCCCCGTACACCAGCCTTGGCTGGGGCTGCGGGGCGAGGAACCAGGCTCCCTGGCAGGAGACGGGCCATGGTCAGTGTGGGGAGGCAGGGAGGAGATCCCATCTCCCCTAATGGCGCCGTCTTCCCTCTGCAGCTGCTGGCTCTCCCTGGAAGGCGGGTTGCTCTATGCCTTCGTCGGCCCCGCTGCCGTCATCGTGCTGGTAGGTGTTTGCTCTTTGGGAGCACGTCTTTGGCTGAAGAAAAGAGCCAACCCCTGTCTCTTGCTGTCTCCCCCTCGGCGCCCCCCCAGCCCCAGGGAGCCCCTCCCCCTCGCACCCCACAACCCTGTTTCTCCTCCCCTGACCCCAGCCCGTTCCCAGCCCAGAGCCTGCCACTGCGCTCTCCCCACAATCTCTCTGAACTCCCCACAAAGGCCGGTCCCTCCCTGGCCCTGGGGTGGGGGCGGAGCAGGAGGGGAGGGCGCTGCCCAGCGCTGGGTCCCCTGTGTGGGGTCACCACCCTGCTCCTCAACCGGGCTCTGTCTCTTTCCCTCCCGACCCAGGTGAACATGCTCATTGGGATCATTGTCTTCAACAAGCTCATGTCTCGGGACGGCATTTCAGATAAGTCCAAAAAGCAACGGGCCGGGTAAGTGCCCCCTGGGGCTGCCCCCGTGTGGGGCGGGCAAGTGGGAGGGCACACGCAGGCAGGTAATACCCTCTGCCCCTTGGCGACCCAGGTACAGTCAGGAGGAGCTGTGCAGTGCATGTCCCATTTGCTCTAGGAGGCTGGAGGCTCAGATTGTTAAGAGCCCCCCTCCTCACCTTGGTTGTGTCAGTGCACCCCCCACCTGCACCTGGGCGCGGCTCCAACCATTCACAAGTGAAGTGAAGTCTGTCCAGTCCTCAGCAGGCTCCCAGCTCACATAGCTAAGAGGGGAGTGGTGGTGGAGTATGGATTTCCAGGGGGTGCCCCTCACCCCCAGCTCCAGGAACACACCATCCCCACCCTGCAGGTGAGCCGTCCCCCGATCTAGAGAGACATCCCCCACCAGATGAGACACACCCCAGCCACCCATCGGCACCCTGTACCCCAGCCATGCCCAGCAGGCTTAGCTGGAGGCCTCGGGAGACAGAATGGGGGGTTGGCGCTGAGCTGACGGCTGCAGCGAGGGGGCAGTTTGTGCCCCATTGTCTGTTACCCAGAAGTGCCCACGGTCCTGCACCCGTTACCAGTGGGGTAGCCAGGCTCCCGAACCTCTCCCCCACGCATTGTCACAGAGCTGCACTCGGACGGGGGAGGGGCTTGCCCGTCATACAGGGAAAGAGGGGATCCTACTGCAGAGCCCCCCAGACAAAGGGGCCGAGCCCCCAGCCGTCCCCCAGCGAGAGCTGCCGGCCCCTTGCTAGTCACTAACCATCCAGTGTGCCGGCCTGCAACTAACAATCTCTCTCTCTCTCTCTCTCTCTGTTTTTCTCATTTGCTTGGTGTATGTGTCCGTCCGTCCCCTCCCACCTGTCTCGCTGCCTCGTGCCCTCGCTTCCCGCCCCTCCCCGCCCCCTGGCCGGCGCGTGGCTCTCCCGTGGGGGGTGGGGCGCTCAGCTGGAAGCAGCCCGCCTGCGGCCGCCTGCTGCTGAAATGCACCAAATGCGGCGTGGTGTCCAGCACCGCCCTGACCTCCGCCACCGCCAGCAGCGCCATGTTAGTCTCTCAGCCTGCGCCCTTTGTGCCCGCTCGCGCTGTCGTGTGTGGCTGCGCTGCCCGTGACCTGAGAGCGCAGCATTCTCCCGCCGGCCGAGGCACGGGGGGTGGGAGGGAGGGGGCATTGCCTGATGGGCGCTCAGCCGTTCAACTCTCTCCCCGGGGCTGGAGAATGCCGTGTGCTCGGAGCTGCTCCGGGTCCTGCGTCTGCTGCGCTCGCCGGCTCGGCTCTGTGTCTGGGGCTCTGTCTCGCAGTGGCTGGCGTGGGGCCCTGTGTGTGTGTGTGTGAGAGAGACCCGTCACTCCTGCACGTTCACTGCCGCTCATCAAATAACACGTCGCCTGGGGCAGGTCCCTCGTGGGGGTGGGGATGGGGGGGACGCTGGCTTTGCAGCCATTAGCAGCCAGCTCCCCAGACTGGGGTCCCAGGCCTAGGGGAGGGCGCGGATTGTGGGGGAAGAGGGATCAGTGAGAGGGAAGAGGGGACGAGGAGATGAGCAGGGGCTGGGAGCCAGGATCAGCTGGGGGCGAGTGGAAGAGGGCAGCCAGTCCGGGAAGGTAGCAAAGAGCTAAAAAGCTCCGGGGGGGTGGATTGATACTCCACATCCCCCATCCTTGCTGCAGGAAGCCTGTACCCCATGTGGTGGCAGGACATGGGGCTCAAGGGGGGCTAGGTAAGTTCCTTTTCCGCGGCTCAGCGGGGCTGGCAGTGCCTTACAGAGCCGTTCCCCTCTCCACCGCTGGTTTGAATCCTGCCCGTGGCAGCAGACGGTCCGTTTCTGGGGTTGGTGGGTCACAGTCCAGAGGCCGAGTGGTTCCTGCCACCAGAATCCCCAGGGTGATGTGTCCTCGGCAGTCACAGCAGAGAGGTGGCTGCGGGCATGTCCCATGGGGGCCTGGCTGCCCTCCAAGGGAAACCAGGGAGGCTGAGTCCAGTCTCCAGGGCTGCCAGGCTGGCTCTGCTGGGACGCGGGAGGGGGCCCTCGCTCTCCGTGACCGGAGGCGGAACCCAGCAGCTGATGAGAATGTTCCCAGCCAGGCCCCGGGGCAGGGCTGCTGGTGCCACTGCCCCTAACACTGGGATGCTGGTGACGATGTTGCTGACAGCAGCCGGAGACCCCGGGGAGCGGCACAGCCACACTGGTGGGAAAATCCCCCAAAAGCACAATTTTAAAAATCCTTTTTTTAAAGACCAAAATCCTTGTGCTTGGGCAGAGAACGCAGGAATGGGGTGGGGGGGTTCAGGCTCTCAAACCTACATTGCACCCACGTGCGCCCCCATACACCTCCATAGCCCCCTGCACTCCCCCATGCATCATGCACCCTGTAGCCCCCCCACACACACACGTCGTTCTAACTCATGCGTCACCCTCTCACATTGGGCTCCTCTCTGGACCCACTGATCCAAAATCCTCCCAGGGCTTGTGGGATCCCTGCCAGCCTTTCAGGGGAGGCCTGGAGTGAACTCCTGGAGTCTCCCCGTGCAGGGGCATGCTCCGCGACCGCCAGTCCGCGTGCATGGCTGGGGTGCAGGGGAGCTGCTAGCTGGCTATCTCCATGGCGTGGTTAATCTGTCTGCGCTCTATCATCTCGTTCCCCCGCGTCCTCCCGCAGAATCCTTTCTCATTCTTCTGCTGCTATTCACGGCGAGAGAGAGAGGCACGTGCACACGCTTTGTGCCGGCCCCGGCTTATCTTGCATCACTCTGCTAACGGCATCTGGCATCAGCGTTCCGCCTGGAACGTTGTCTTAGGAATACAGGGCTCAGTGGAAGAAAGGCCACTAGCCACCTGCAATGAGGAGGGAGGCGCTCCTGCTGGTTTCCCCAGCGGGCCCGATTCTCTCGCACGCTGGTGCAAATCAGGAGTGACTCCACTCAAACCAGTAGCCACACCAGTGTAAACGCAGTGGGTCTGCCCTGCACCTTGCCCATGGTTTCGCATCGGCGCAAAAGGCATTTTTGCGCCCATTTTTCACTGGTATAAATGATGACTCAGCTCATTGACGTGCGCCGAGCGCTTCCTTGCACGTCTGGCCCAAGGGGCGGAGCAGTTGGGAATTGGAGCCCAGCGCATTCGAGATCAGACCCGGCCCTCAGGTTTCATTCTCCTCCCGCTATCTCAGCTTCCCCCTAACGCTGGGGGGGAAGGACCTTTTAGCTGTAACCCAAGGCCAGGATCTGAGTGCCTTGGGCCGTATGCAGCCCCGGAGCTGGCCGAGACCCGTATCATGGCAAGGCAGGCCGGGATCTCCGTTCCCAACTCTGCAACTTCTCTTCCTTAAATCTCCGGGAGGCTTTGCCTTCTGCCTGTCACTTAATGAGCTTTCAACTGCTGAACAGGGCAGCAAGAGGAGAAGTTCGAATGAGAAGATAGTTAAATCTAATGAGCCGAGTGCATGAGCCGTTCTCCCTGCCTCTCTGTCCTCTGCATGCAGAGCCTGGCTCACTTCTGCAGGAGTTTGCATGCTTCATCCACGCAAGCTGGGGCGTCGGCTCGGGCGCCGTAGGCAAAGCTACAAGCTTCCTCAGTTGATGCAGGTCTTTCTCACCCCGGGAGGGGACGGGCCCTTAGGCCCACATTTTTAAAGGTGTTTAAGCATTGCTGCACTCAGCATTGCAACGCCTAATTGATTTAGGAGCCTCAGGCTCCTTTTCAGAAGGGATTTAGGCACCGAGGAGCCAAAATCCCTTTGACGGTCAATAGGATTTAGACCTAAATACCTTTAAAACTCTGGGCCTTAATGCAGTTGGGGAATGCAGCGCTGAACAGCTCAGGGGGAAGGGATTCAGAGCCTGGCTCAAAGCCAGGTCAGTCTGAGAATGGTGGTGATGGCCTGCCTGAACCGAGTTTGCTGGGTCTCTCTTCCGTGCCCCCATCAGAGAAGCTGGCACGCAGTCTGGCAGCCTTGGCAGAGAGGCCAGGAACTGGCTGGGCTGTGCCTGGAGGGGCGGTGCCAGGATGCCCCCACTGCACAGTGCCAGGGGGCTGTGCGTGCGAGCGGGAGATGTGTCGGGCGACAGGCGGGATCTCTCCGCTCTCGCCAGCGATACTGCAGGGAGGGCAGGCGGAAAGCACTCGCTGGTTTTCCTAGCCCTTTGGACACCGGCTCAGCACCCCAGAGCGCTGGCAACTGGGCTCCCACAGCTCCCTTGGGAACGGCTGCCATTCCTTTTAAACAGCAGCCTCCCCCCTGATTGGCTCCGGGGCTCGTCTGTCTCACCCTCGTCCCTCCCTCTCCCCGCCCAGGGCGTCGCTGTGGAGCTCCTGCGTGGTCCTGCCCCTGCTGGCGCTCACCTGGATGTCGGCCGTGCTCGCCATGACCGACCGGCGCTCCATCCTCTTCCAGGTCCTCTTCGCCGTCTTCAACTCGGTGCAGGGCTTCGTCATCATCACCGTGCACTGCTTCCTACGCCGAGAGGTGGGGCCCCACGCTGCCCTGCCCTGCCCTGCCCTCAGAGCTCACGCGCACAGCCCTGATCCGTGGGCTGAGGTTCCATCTGCCCTTCTCTTCCTCCAGCTGTCCGTGGCTCAGCCTGCCCCTGGATTTGCACACGCCTTGTACACGCCCAGGCTGCACACTGGTTTCCACTCCTGCAGAAAAAGGGGTCTCATTGGGTCTGCCCCCACACACCTGGTGGAACAAGTAGCCCTGCGCTCTTTGCACACCCCGTTGCCAGGGATTGAGGGTTTGCACACCCGCTTCGCTGATGCAGGGGCGGGGTGGGGTCCCACTGTGGAAAGGGGGCCCTTTGTGTGTAGATGCACTGTTGTGGAGACAGTAGGCAAAGCGAATGCATCTTGTAATCAAAGCCCACAATCCTGGCTGAAGGCGGCTATCACACACCAGACCAAATTACGGCTTTATGCTCCAAATGGAACACTAAATCTTAATGGAGTCGCCCAGCTCCGGGGGGTGGGAGGGGATGGAGTTCTGTCCATCACCCGTCTGGAGAGAACCGCGTCCTTCCGAGCCCATCCCTCTGCATTCCGGAGCTCCCTTGGGTGCCCATTTATCTTAGCATGATGCACTGCGAATGGCAGCTCTATAAACAGAGAGAGAGCGCGCATGCAAGGTCTATCGTTAAGAGCTTCCGGCCCGTCCTGGGAGCGCCTGATGGCTCTGTCCTTGTAACCACCTGGGACAGTTAGCAACAGCAGCCTCGCATTGGCATGCCAAGCAGGGCGGCCGGAGCGGAGGGTCAGGAGGGCGAGCCGAGGGACATAGGATTTATAGAGTCTAGTAAAGAGGAGTCTCTGGAGAGACGGGGCCAGTCTATAAATATCTCCGAGGTAACAGCTCACGCGGCAGCAGGCGCCGGTCAGAGCGTTACAGAGCTAGGGAGGGAGAGATTGTGGCCGGCTGCCGGCTGAAGGTTCCCATCAGGGCGGGGGGCCCAGCGGCTGGCACTGCCCAGGTGCCAGGAGGGCGTAGGAAGGATGCTCATGGCAGTGCCAGGGCAGAGGTCCCACAAGATGCAGGAGAGCAAGAGGTGGCTGAAGTTCCCCCTGCATAGAGGGGCTAAGGGGGCCCTGTCCTCACGCTGGCTCCTCTGCTGGGGTTGGGGCTCGGTCCAGCTCCAAGCGGGCAAGTGTCCACGCCCCTGGATCTCCAGCTGGCGCTGTGCGGTCAGCTCCAGCCCAGGGTCCAAGGCCTCAAAGAGCAGATGGAGACTGACCTGCCCTCGGCCCCAGTTACTGCCCAGCACCAGGCTAGGGGATCAGATGGGCAGATCGGGGCGTGAGGATTGGTGGGGTGGATCCTAGCAGGGTGTGAGGATTGGCCGGGCGGATCCAGATGGCTTATTGAGCCTAGTAATCATTTGTGAGGGGCAGGGCAGCAGGGGCCCCCTCTCGCTGCCAACCCCCAGGGCAGTAACCGCAGCCTCTGCCTCGCCCAGGTGCAGGATGTCGTGAAGTGCCAGATCGGGGTGTGCAAGAGCGACGAGAACGAGAACTCGCCCGACTCCTGCAAGAACGGACAGGTGCAGATCATGGTGAGTGAGCGTCAGCCAGGCGGCACCGGGCGAGCAGGCGGCACGGGGCCTGGGTCAGGGGCGGC